AAAAAAAAAAAAAAAAAAATGAAACACCTAAAAAGAGCCAGAAACGCTTGCTTTTTCCGATTTCGGCGCAAGCCTCCTCAGCATATTTGCCGCATCATGAACCGGCTTATTACTGAAATCCAACGAAGGATTTTGGAAGGATTTCCTTAGCTCCGTGATTGGGGTTCTAGACCTGAAGCAGTGTGTCCCAAAGCAGATCATCATGAGCACCTAAGAGGATGCTTCTCAAAATATAGCTCTCCTCTAAGCCCCCAAACGCGCAAATTTCTACAGAACATGCTGAAAGCGCTGCATCCCCGCATCATCTCCATGATGACCCTGTTTGTACAGGATTGCTGGCCTGGAGCCCGGGAGCCCTGAGGTCACTACAAGCTACCTTGAAAGGTTTGAAGCTTTGGGATTTAGGATCTATTGCGTAATTTCAATAAATGAGCGGACCCCACTGTAGTCCCCAATATACTCTAGTCCTTATTATAAGCCCCTAAAAGGGTACCCCTAATTTTGGGAAACCCCCATTTGGGTTCAATAGGCGCGGCCACATCCAACTCGCAAGATCAGCCGGCTACCATATCCGAAGAACAGAATCAAGTGAGACATGCTTGGATAATAGAAAAGAAAATGGAAACTACTATAACATAAATATATAGGCAATATATTGGGTTTACATTGGGGATATATTGGGCTTATATTGAGGTTATATGGGGATAGTGGAAAATACAGACAACGGATCTCAACCTGAACTCTTCGGAATGACATCCCAGGTTTTCCTCATCCATTGGCTTCGGCGGCAGCGTCAGCTGCGAGACATACCTCACAAATGGGTGGGATGTCAAAATTATGGTCCCTTTTTGGGTACCCTAAATATTAGGGGCCGTATTATAATAGGGACCCAAAAAGGGACCATAATTTTGACAACCTCACAAATCTTGAACCCACTTTGGAGTTTAGGGCTGACTCCTCAGAATCCTTGGGTTAGATTGAGGATAATGGAAAAGAAAATGGAATCTACCGTAATGTATAGGGTTTTATAGGGGTTATAACTTATAACGCATGCTCCCGCACCACTGTTGCAGTTTCCAGGGTTATTGGGACAATGAATACCTCCAGCGGTTGAGCGCTCTGTCTCTTGCACCTCTGTTGCGCTAGGAATTGGCATACAAAACATATCCAAGCGCATCCCTGGCGGAGTTTGGACTTGCCCGCTGCACTCCCATCCACATCAAACAGGATTTAAAAATTCTGATGTTGAAACACTACACTCAGGTCCAAAAATCCTTTTCTAATACCTTCAGATTGCGTCGCGCATCTGGATGTGGACAACTCACGATGGTGCGAGCAGCTGGACCGAATTCTTGTGACATGTTGCTGAGGCTATGCGAAGAGATAAGTGCATGTGGCGGAAACCGTCAAGATATGAGAAGATACCACAAAACATGGACCCGTCTCACCATTTTAACATGTCCATCCGCCAAGCGCAGGCTCCACCGCAATGCTCTGCACTAGAGATCTCGCAAGTACGTGAACTGCACCGCATGTAACCCAGCCTGAGAGCCCAAGTTGACATGTAATTGCTGGCCCTTGTGATAACTGCCTAACATCATACAGTACAATAACGATACCATCTACTGTATGAACCGACATGTCTCACCAATATTTGCTAAATTATCCAACAACTATGTAACATCAATGCGACGATCAGATGAAGAATCCTCTACGATCTGACAGATGCCTTCGCGCCACGAAAGCCATCTCGTTCTCCGCGCGCCGCGGGGACTGAGCGCAAGGCCAATTGATGGCATCGTTGAGGCATACATTTGCAAGATACCCCAGTGCAGTTTGGGGCTTAGGATTTAGGGATTGTACTTAAACTTTGTGCTGGTACCCCTTGATCATGCAGAGAAGCTGCTCCCACATTGGGTCTGTCCCGTGTGATTGTATTATATGTTGAACAAACACTCTCCAATGAACACCCCTGAAGATAAACTGGCATGTCCGATGCACCATCAAACATGAGGCGCAGCTAGCAGAATCAATGGAAAAAGAAAATGGGAACTGCTATAGTATATTGGAACTTTATAAGGATAATGCAAAAGAAAATGGAAACTACTATAGTATATTCATAGAAGATCTTTGCGTGACCGGCGCAGCACTGGAGTCTACCGACAAGTCTTAGGGGATACCGATTTCAAAGGTAAGAAACATTAAGCTTTTCACACCATGACGCAGTACATGGTATCTTTGCAGACCTATCCCAATGCATGTGGAGGCTCAAAGTTGAGTGTATGAGACTACACGGGGTTCGTCGATCTCTGGGGGCTTCATACCGATACTGCCGCCAGCTATCGTGGAGGAATATGGCCAGAGGCAACTTCCATGCGGCGCCCAAGCGCTGCCCGCGCTGTTTGGGAATGGATGGTCAAACTTGCAAATAAGGTTGCTCCAAGCTAAGAAAACTTCAAACGTCACGCCGCGCCCCTCGCAGAAAGCGGTTCTCTGCCGACTGACAGCGCTTGTCCTGGAAGTCATCCCGGCTGACCCGATGACCATGACTCTGCAGAGTTAGTCGCTGGATCATGAAACTGCAACACCGCCCACTGGCGCAGAGGAACCCGCGTCTTGGTATTCCGGAGGCTCTTAAGTCCAACTTCCCAGTCTGCAGCTGAAATTCAAAAATATTTAAAACATGAAGCTGAAATTGCAAGACTGCATGGCACCCAAGCTTCATTCACCGCATCAGGCACCAGAAACTGTCCCAGCCACGACTCAAGTTCCCATTGTAAAGAGCCAACAAAGATCATAAGCGAGACAAACCTGCAAATGCCAGGCTTGCAGCTACAAGGAAACTCTGCCACAACGCTGAGCTTGGCACCACATCTGCGCCTGGTAGATGCAGGCACCATTGCATGCAAGATAGGCCCTTGATTTCAGCCTGCGTGGATATCAAACAAGCCTTTTCAGCCATTGAATTGTGTGAGTGGGATACCCATTGCAGTTATTGCCAAGTCACCTACATTGCCAGTAACGCTGGCATGCTTGGGATTGATACTTCTAATTCCAACTTTCGCACGACCAGCGTTGGGTTACTTATGTGTTGTTGCAGTGCTTGCCGCTGCTATCTCTACGAATACACAAATGCCGTATCTTTTCTTGATGCCTCGACTAGTCCTGACCAAAACAAGCTGAAAATCTTGACGCAAGTAGTCTGATGCTTCAAGCTTTGGCAACCTTCCTTTTTTATGCCAGGATCTCACCTGAATTTGCTTTGCAAAAGTGACCCTGTCATGGAGGCCGGGCCACCTCCATCAGGATTTTGGTGGGCCACCTCCTTTGCGGCAGCATCTGCCTGGACAGTCCACAGCTTGGGATATTTGGGGGGTTTCCCCAAAATTAGGGGTACCTTTTGTGGAGGGGTCCCCATAACAAGGATTGTTGGGTCTCCCTATGTTGTCGGAAGCTACCACTTATAAACAAAGGCAAACAGCAATGGTAATGCTGCTGTTCTGACATGACGGTGGTCATACATGTGATGCCAGACGAGGCAGCATGTGTCGTTTTGGAAAGTACAGGTAGCAGAGCTATGATCACCACAGCAGATGACAGTGCCAGTAGCAGTTGTTGCTGCCTTGGCATCAAAATGACGAGGATCATGATGAAAAAAACGCAAGAGCACTGCCGGAAAGGCGTCACATTGCTGCTGGAATAGTTTAGTACCTGGACATCGGCGGCTGCCATATCAGGAGAGGTCGCTTCAAGCTCAACGATATGGAGGCCTCTGTGACTCTGAGATTACGTGACAGCACCAGCCAGCTTCAGAGCTGCCAAACCTCCAGCCCCCAGGAAACTATGGGAATTACTGTATGGGGATTTTAAAAGGGTCATACAAGGTGTTATATAGGGGCCATATAGGGGATAATGGAAAAGAAAATAGAAGCTACTATAGTATATGGTTTAGGATTCAGAGGGTAGGGAATATAAGAACCTCAACTCCCGCACCGTACCCGAAGTCTCAGGAGGGGCCCTTGCAAATAAACTCTTACATGAGCTTGATGCAGAGAATTACGCTCTCCCTGATGCCCCGCAAAGCCGCAAGCCCTCTCCCTAAACCCTAAACCCTATACTATAGTAGTTTCCATTTTCTTTTCCATTATCCCTTCCTTTATCCCAATATAACACTCCCTGCAGGCCTCAGCACCAAGGATCTGCAGCTGGGAATTCAGACTCTGCATGACTTCCTGCAAAGCCTCGGGTTCTCAGCTTCGCTCTTCAAAACAACAGGAATTAGAGGGGAAAATATAGGGGTTATCTAAGGGGTTATACAGGGAATATATAGGGATAATGGAAAAGAAAATGGAAGCTACTGTAGTATAGGGTCAGGCTGCAACCAGATGCCCCCGAAGAGGTAACTGCTCTTTGATAGTTGGGGGCCTTCTGATCGGGCTTGAGCATCCGTGTCCAAGAAATGTCCATTATCCTTAGATGGCCCCAATATACTATAGTAGTTTCCATTTTCTTTTCCTTTATCCCAATATAACACTCCAGGATGGAAGGGGTTCAGTCTTCGGGTTCTTGGGATTAAGAGCTTCACGCTTTGCAGCTTTCAACCATCATGATCTACCCCAACCCACTGAAAACCCGGATGCGCTGTGGACCGCAAGCCCTGCAGCATCCTTGGCCCCAAAGACAGACGGAAGCCTTCAAAATAGCCTTACATAGGGATAAGGGAAAAGAAAATGGAAACTATAGGAATTACAGGGATTATATAGGGTATATATTGGGGCCATATAGCGATAATGGAAAAGAAAATGGAAGCTACCGTAGTATGTTGGGGCTATATAGGGATAATGGAAAAAATGGAAGCTACTGTAGTAT